ACGACGGGCCTCTGGCGCTGCTGGGACTGCCTCTGCTCCCCCAGGAGAGAACAGCGGGGGCCAGGGCGCAGTGGGGAGTGCAGGCTGTCAGTCTGGAGCAGGGGCGCTCAGAGCCTTCAGGGAGCAGCTCAGCTGTGCCCAGGATCCCCCACAATTAGAGCGAATGCCAGCCCTGCCGGGGCCATCACACCGACCATCGCAGGGACCGGCCCACCTTCCACACGGACAGACGGAGAGGACCTTCCGTTCACCAGCCTGCGGGCTGGGCACCGCTGTCCTCCCTGCCCCTCTGACCTGTCCTCGCTGGGGCCACGGGGGCTGCACTTTTTTCCTGGCGGGGGCTCAGCGAGGGCAGAGCAGACAGACAAGCCGGTCTGTGAGCCAACTGGTCACACGCGGGCAGGGGCTCCGGGCCGAGGACCCGCCTGTGCTGCGCTGACCAACACGAGGTCTGTCCCTGCTGCCGAGAGCACCGGTGCCGAGGGGCCCGGAGAGGACATGCCCACGGCACTGAGCACACCCGAGGTCCTCCGCCAAGGAGCCCACGGGGCTGGCCCTGAGCAATTCCTCCTCCCAGGGCCACCAGCTGGGAGGTCCGCGGTGAGCCCCGTGGCAAGTCCATTTGCAGAAACGGGAAGGGCTGACTTGTTCCCTCGGAGCAGAACCCCCCCCCCTCCTGGCTCTGTTCCGGCCCGGCTCTCCCTGGGCACCCAGGGAGGCAAAGTCAGAACCTCAGAGCTCCCGCCCGCCCGGACCACGGCCACTCCCAAGGTGGGCAGCACTCCCCTGAGGGGCTGACCGGGCCCCTGGAGGCCTGGTGGTGGACGACCCCCTCGGCTGGGCTTCCAGCCGCATCTCCAGCCCCCCATGCAGGTGGGCACCGAGTTCTGGTCTGCGTTAGCCACCCCACCACCCACCTGGCCTCCAGCCATCTCACACCTGCCACCGCCCAGCCCCCCAGCCCCTGGGAAGCCCACCCTGGTGTGCAAGGTGGGGACTCCCCACTCCCCGGGAGGACCTCCGCCCCAGACCTGTGACCCAGCTGAGCTCCAAGGGCAGGGCGGTGGGGACGCAGTAAATGCAAAGGCCCACCCAGTGGCCCAGCTTCTCTGGGAGAAAAGGTCCAGTCCAGCTCCTACTGAGCGGCAACCGTAGGGCAGGTGCGGTGCTGGGGGGCGGCGGACACTGCGCGCTCAGAGGTGGACAATCGCAGACAAACTCAGGCGGCTGCCCAGATCTCGCCGAGCGGGAGGTGCAGAGCCGCTGTGCCCTCCACACCGGGCCTGACCCGGGGAAGCTGCCCCCAGGAAGCCCTCTGTCCTGATGCGTGGGCAGAGCAGCAGCCTGGCAGGCCGAGGGCTGGCTGCCTACCAGCGAGGTGACCTCCCCGCTTAGTGTCCAGTGACAGCGGGTTGCTGGGAGGGAGCACGGGGCCCGGTGCAGGGAGCGGGGCAGGGCCTGGGAGAGGCGGGGG